TGCTATTTTCCCAGCTGACTGTAACAGCTTCCTCGCCGCCCACTGCTTCATCATGAAGCCATTCCATGTATTTTAGTCTTTTGCTAAAGCAGGAGCCCCTTCTACATATCGAATGCAGTATCGTCAGTCTTATTCACAATAACAATGCATAATGAGCCACCCTCAAAACCGGTGACACACAGCGATAAGCACGTATTCTCACGTCCATGGGTTTGCAGGTTGAACGTGAATCAGCTGATCTAGGTTGGGCTTGCTTGCGTGGGTCAGCTACAAGCTACTGGTCTAACTGGCCTTGGCTCCTCTCGGGAAGCTGTGCCCAGGGTTGAGCCACGGTCCATGCTGGGGCCCTGGCTGATGGAGAGCAGCTTACAGGGTAAGCACATCTCATGGTAATGGTGGCAGTGTGGAGAGCAAAGCCAACCCTGCAAGTAGATCTCAAGCCCCTGCTCACATCACATCTGCTAACATCTTGTTGGCCAAAACAAGGCATGCAGTGTGCCAGTTATCAATGTACTGACTCTCAGCTCTAAGTTCACCCTTTCATTTTGGCTCTGGGATAACAGACTGATAACTTTGATTTCTCCTTTAAGAGACCACAATGTTAACAGTTGTCAATAGAGGGCGCTGGAGGGATGTTGCAGGAAAAAGGGGGCTTCTCTCCCAGTTCCAGCTGCAAGCCCTCGCCTTCCCCCCCTGGCTCCTGCTGCATGCTTGGTCAGTGGTGCAGGTGTGTGAGGACACCTGGTGGAGCTCTGCCCCAGGCACACATTCAGAGAAGGAAACCCGTTTATGACCTTGCAGCCCCCGCTGGACTGCTGTCTCCCTCCATGCTCCCTACACCAACTCCCTCCAGGCACCCACCTGCCAGCCTGGGCTTGCCTCTGCCCAGGTCTGGTTCCCACGCCCTCCAGGTGTGGACATCGCACACTCCAGTCCTCACTTCCAAGGGGCTCACCTGTGTCCCTGAAGGCTTGCCTGGCAACTATGAACAGTTCTAGCTGGGAAAACTCAGTGAGTAGGCTGCAACCACACCTTCCCGGATGAAGTCTGAATCCTAGCTCTGGGGAAGCATCCTCCTTCCAAACTTGACCTTGCTTGGGTCCCCCACCCTGGGGGTTCCTTTAGAGTTTTCTTGGAACCTTTGTACTTATTCTCCTTTGATAGGACAATAATTCTTTATCTTAAACTTTCCCTGTTTAAATCTCCTAAGTGGCCCAGTCAGATACATGTGGCCCACCCCAGAGCAAAGGGGTGCAGAGCACACAAAAACCACTACACACTTTGTTATTTAGTAGAATGTATGTAGTATCAAGGTCATTTATCTGTATTTGGCAATAAAGCAAGGCACCACAAGGGGGCACCCGGATTTGAACCGGGGACCTGTTGATCTGCAGTCAAATGCTCTACCCCTGAGCTATGCCCCCTTGCATAGTAAAAGCTCCTCCTTTCCCTGTTTCACCTGTGTAACCAAGCATTCCATAGTGCACAGTAAGTTCTATTCATTCCTGGTTGTCTGATGAAACTGGCAGACCCATCACGGATTGACTGGAGATCACCCTCTAGCCATGAGTTCACTCTTCCATTCCCCAGTCCCCTCATCCTTCCTTCCTTCCTTCCATTCTCCCTTAGCTCTGCCCCTCCTCCCAGCCTCCCACCTCTTCACCTTCCTTCCCGGCTCCTTCACATCCCCCACTCGCTACTCTTGCTTTCCCCCCCTGGCCTAGCCCTTGCCTGAGGCCATCTTGTAGGGTCTTGGCTGAACCCAGGGGAGACAGTGCCAGGGTGGCAGCAACTCTTGAATCCTGGGCAGACAACCCCGGAAGCTAGGGCTTGGCCCACAGCTCCTGACCACCTGGCCCTGGTCAGTGGCTAGAGGTCCCTCTTTCCTTCTGCCCCACAGCGGGGGAGCCCATGCGCCCATTTCTCTCTGAAGCTTTTCATCCACGTGGTGAGGACACACAGCAGTCCTTCCTGAAAGGCACCGGGCCCTGAAGACACTGAGGATTCAGAGGAAGGAGAGTAACCCCCAGGATATGTTACATGGAATCCGAGACCAGTGCGATTCACCTTAGGGAGACCACAGAGGGCGCGGAGCTCTGCAGGGGAAGAGCAGGGCTCCAGGGGAGGCAGATTCTTCTCATTCCTGTGTGGTTTATTTATATCATTACTTTGCTATGCAGGGAACAGATTTCACTCTAAAAATATCATCTAAATTCTAAATAAATATTTATTCCAATGAGAACAAATCGTTGCCCCCTCAATGATGTTTCCAGCATAATCAACCTGCTACCGTGTTGCTAGCTGCTTGCCCGGCGTATAAAACAACATCCTTTTATTAGGGGATGCAACTGTTTGTATGGAAAATAATACATTATAATTAGTAAATCATGATACAAGAATAAACTGTTTTGTGTATTCACAAGTGTAAACCTTCTTTTGCCCCACCCTGTATATTACAAGAGAATAAGTACATCAACTCGATAGATAAGAATAAAGTTGGGCCCTGGCCGGTTTGCTCAGCGGTTAGAGCATCGGCCTGCGGTCCAGAGAGACCCAGGTTCCGTTCCTGCTAAGGGCATGTACCTCAGTTGCAGTCTGTCCCCAGCCCCGGTTGGGTCATGCAGGTGGCAACCACTTGATATGTCCCTTTCACATCGATGTCTCTATCTCCCTCTCTCTCCCTCCCACTCTATCTGAACAAAAAATGGAAAAATGTCCTCTCAGGTGAGAATAAAAACAAAAACAAAAAAAAACTCATAACAAATTAAGAACAGAAATGTTTTCTTAACCTGGTAAGTAGAATGCACCAAGAACCTCCAGCAAATATAATACACAAGAAGCAGTCCTATTAGATTCAGAAACAAGGAGGCCCATTATCACCCTTGCTATTCAATACTATTCTGGGGAATCCTAGCTTCTACAAGAAAATGAACAGAAAGGGAGGAGGGAAGGATTGAAAAGAGACTAATTGTCCTTGTTTGCAGATACTATGATTAACAACACTAAAAGTAGAGGAAAATCATTAGAACCAACAAGCTTGTTCAGCTAGATTGCTCAGTGCAAAATCAAAATACAAAAATGAGTATCATTCCTCACAAAACACCTGTAACCAGCTAGATAATGAATTAGGGTAAAAATCCTATTAGTAACAGAAACAAAAATCATAAGGTAACTGGAAACAAAGTAATATATCACAAGTTCTTTACTGACACAATTTTAAAATATTGCCGAAGGATATAAAGAAAACCTGAATTAACGGAGATGACTCCATATTCATGGATGGGGAACTCAATATTATAAGGATGCCAAACCTTTCCAATTGGATCATTTGGTTCATTGTAATTTCAGCAAAGGTTGAAACAGATTTTCGTAGAACTTGGAAAAACAGAGGTTTAAGACTAGCTGTGACCATGTAAGGTTTGAAAACAAGGTAGGGTGTGTTCTACCGCAAGGCAAGACTTACAAAGTGAATGTAATTAAACTAGTGAGCACAGTAATAGACAAATGAACGGAACAAGACATGTGACCCATGCATATGTTGGAACTTGGTATATGAAAAGGGTGACTGTGATAACTAATTTTATGTGTTGACTTGAGTGGAATAAGGGATACCCAGATAAGGTGAAACATTACTTCCAGGTGTGTCTATGATGATGTTTCCAGAAGAGATTAGCACCTGACTCAGTAGACTGAGTAAAAAAGGTGGTCCTCACCAATGTGGGTGGGCATCATCCAGTCTGTTGAGGGGCCCAGTAGCACACAAAGGCTGAGCAAGGGTGAATCTGCTCTCTGCTCACCCATTTTCTCCTGCCTTGGACTGACCGCCACACCCATTTTCTCCTGCCTTGGGACTGACCGCCACAGCCGGAGAGTAATAGGTTGCTCTCACTGACGTTTTATTTCACTTACCACAGGTCTTGTTCTACATAGGCTGGTGTAGGTTCACTTTTTCTACATGTTTTCTTTTTCTTTTTTTTAGGTTAAAATGAGTTTATTATTTTTTAAAATTAAACTGTTTGTGGAACAGCTATTTTATCCCCATTTCTACATGTTTTCACGGCCCCAAATCAGTGGTGTGCTGGTAAATGTTCAACCACCAGCTCTCGGGGGAGGGGCACTGGTGATTTTTAGTGTTTCCCAGTTTCACGGTGTAAATAATCTCACCACGGCCAATTTTAAGCTACAAACATAAGATCGCTGACTATGGAGTTAGGAAGATACGCAAGCCCGCTCAAGCACACCACTGTCTCTAGTCCATCTCCCTTACTCTAGCCCATCCAGCAAATAGCCAAGATACGATGACTCGTGGGTCAGTGCGGTGGTGAGCGAGGGCGCGGGGAGACACGTGAGGATGCGCCAAGGTCTGGCAGCCACTCCCGCCCCACCACGACCGCGGCCCGCGCCGCCGGCCTGCAGCCCCGGGCTCCTCGGTCACGGCCGCTTTAAGAGATGAGCCCTGTGGGGTCTCGCTTCATCCGAGCATCCTCACCTGGCGGAGGGTGCGCTCAGTAAGTGTCGCATGCAAGAATGGATGGACGGACGGGTGGGTGGAAGGACGGACGGACGCGCACACGCGGGCAAGCACACCATAAGCCGGCCACCAGGCGGGCCCCTCCGCCCACGCCCTCCCGGCAGCTTCGCAGGGTCCCGGGCTGCTGCAGTGAGAGGGGCTGCACCAGGCCGCCCGGGGCTCGCCCCGCCCCCGGCCGGCGCCGCAGCGCCCTCTGGGAAGTGTAGTTCGCGCCTGCGCCCCGCAAGCCGCCGAGGCCGGGGGTCTCCGGGCGGAAGCGGGACCACCCGCCGGGGAAGCCAGGCGTGGGGCGGGCCGGGGCGCTCTCCCGCCGCCCCTCCTCCGCGGTCCGCGCCCCCGGCCCCGCCTTCTCCCGCGCAGAGCCCCGGACTTCCATCGCCCTTGTCGCGGAGGGTCGCGCCGCAGCCTGCGGGCGGGGCAGCGGGCGCGGGCGCCGCGCCGGAAGCTGGGAGCGGAGGCTGAGTCCGGGATGGCGCACCAGGTGAGGCGCCGGGGCCCCGCGCGAGCCGGGGAGGGCGCCGGGCCGGTCTGCTCCGCCGGGCACGGGGCGGCCCCCCGGCCGGGCGGAGAGCCCGGGACCCTCCAACTTTGGGATCTGGCCGTAGGGCGCCGCGCGGGCCCAGTGGGCAGATTTCGTGCGCTGTAGTCTGACCCTCGGGCGACCCCTGCCCGCTCCCCGCCTCCAGTGCAACGTACCGGGAGCTTCTCTCCACCTTTGGAAATTCGATCCTTTGGGTTAAGCATCGCTCTCCCTAGGCTTCGTTTGTTTTAACGATACGTTTTCCTGGGAGCGGTGGGCATGAAGGCCTGGGGGGAATGAGTAAATCTGCTACTTTTATTCTTGGTAGGATACTGGACACACATTTCCCCCCCGCCCCCCGTCCGTTCCGGGCAGGGAAGACATGGAACTAGGCCCATGCCCACCACTCCCAGTTTTTATTCTGTAGGTAAGGTGTGTAGCCCCGGGAGCTGAAGGGAGAGCCCCATCTGGAAAGACTGGGCACAGTTCCGGTGAGTTGTGTGCAGATGTAGGGAAACGTGGAGATACCGGTGGGGAGTTGCCACGCGTTCTTAGTGGGCTCTTGGAGCTAGTTTTGTAAGTGGGGTGGCTCCTGAGCTTGGGCCAATCTCAGGCAACTGTGGACTCCGTGGTTGGGAGGGATGGGGTGGGGATTGGGTCTGGGGCAGGCTGTGTCCAGGCAGAGCAGTCACTGTGCCATGACCTACACAAGCTCTTGGGAGGAAGGAGCAGGCAGGTGTATTGGACGTGGTGGGAGCAGGGGCGGCCTCTCTTGCAGCTCTGGCTGTCCATTTATCAGCCCAGGGACATCTCTACTGAGGTATGTCCACTGGTTCCATGCTAGGGCCTCCTCATTACAGTTTCCTTTTCTATAAAATGAGGATTGGACCACTGATATTTCAGATCTGATGTCTTGGGAGGGGTGTGTGCTCACAATGTAGCTTCGTGGAGAAAGTGGCCGGGAGTGGCCTTGGGGAGGATGAGGGCAGTCAGATGGAAAGGAATGGAGGGCCTCCTGTCTTCCTGTCCAGTGCCACTCCCTAAAGTCAAGGAGCATGTGAGCACAGCCCACAGGTGGGGACAGCAGGGTACAGGCTCTGATTTTGGCACCTGAGCCCGAGGCATGCTGGGAGAGTGGGTCAGGCTGGGAAGGACCATGAAAGGTGGACAGGTCCCGTGGCACTGAAGCTGTGGTTTTCATGCTGGGCGAGAGACACTGTGGAAGGAATGTTTCAGGAGGACCAGCATGGCAGCAATGAGCCAGTAGGCTGCTTACTTACAACAACCCTGGATCAGCCCAGAAAACTCTTCTGTTGGTTGAGGGAGGGTGGTGGTCTGAGAGCCACAAAGGGGGTGAAGTCGGGCCCGAGGAGGGTGATGGGTCCAGATTGCAAGATCCTGACGGTGTTTGTGGCCTGCACATTTTCACACTCCTTGCTCACTGTCTCGTACACACACACTCCTTACTCTTCGTTTGCATTTGTTGGTGGGGTGGGGGAGGGGCATACAGAAGGAGGCCACTGATGGGACCGTTGACCCTGGCCACAGTCAGTTTCATTCCTGTTCTGTGAGAACTTTGTCATAGCAAAGTTTGTTTTGAGGCTGAGGGTGAAAGGCCTGGGGACCGTTTCTTCTGGGAGTCTAGAAAAGCTGGGTATACTAGCTGGGAGATAAAGAGGCACTTGGAGTGTGTGGGGAAGAGTCTGTTTATTCCGTGTAGCTGCAAGTGGGCATTAGGCAGGCAGATTTGGCTGCAGTAACGCTAATCATAGCACTTACCACATCCCGGTATCTGTTCCAGGCACTTTTCCTGCATTAATTTATTTAGTCTTCACAGCATCCCGAAGATCCCCGTCTTATAGATGAGTTTGGGGAGGTGCCATAGCTAATACGAAGCAAAGCAGGGATTGGAATGCTGGCAGATGGTTCCAGAGGTCGAGCCTTGACCCCGTGCTCTTACCCTGTCTACGTCCAGAACTTCTTAACTGCCCGATCAGTCCGGCAATAGGACTGGCTGCTGGGGATGTGATAGGCACCCATTACGAAAGCACCGAGGTAGAAATTGACAAGCCACCCTGTTTGGGTGGAACTCGGCCTGGAATGTTCGCTGCCCCTCGAAGGTCTGCAGTAGCTGCCTGTGATTTCCAGTTCACAAACGTGCTGCTTTGGACAGCTGGCGCCTGGAAAGAAGGGCGGGGCCGAGGGACTTGCTCACCAGTGTAGTGTTCAGTTTCAGGGGACCAGGCAGGTTCCACCCAGTCTCCAGCCTGTGACTGGACTGCAGGTCAGCATCACCTGTGAAGTTTGAAACTTGGTTTCTGAGTCCTGAAAGTACTAAGCCATGATTTAGTAGGTTAGGATGAGGTGGGAGATCAGCCCTGATTAAAAAGAAACTGGGAAGTACACCCTTCAAACCCCGAAGCCCTTTTGCTCTGTCGGTTGTTATGCTGTGAAGAGCTTCTGATAGCAGAAGCTGAGGATACAGACAAAGGGGGAGAGAGAGAGAAACATCAGTGTGAGAGAGACACATCAACTGGCTGCTTCCTGCATGCCCCCAGCCAGGTCAGGGATCGAACCCACAACCCAGGTACGTGCCCTTGACTGGGAATCGAACCAGAGACCCTCTGATGCATGGGCCGAGACTTGAACCACCAAGCCACGCCGGCCAGGGCTACAGGAACGTGTCTTGTACTCAGGATTCTTCCCCTCTTTCCATCACCACCTTGAACAAGTCTGTTTCAGTGTTCACCTTTTGTTAAGAGGTTACTGGGAATGGTAATGTTTGATGCAGATACCTTCATTCTTCCTACGGACCACTAGGTAATCGTGATTTTAGAAATTGAATGTTACATGCTTGGTTTAAGTGCTTACCGATCCTATTATTATTGGTTTTAGTCACAGTGAAAGGGGCACCAAAATTTCAGTCCAAAGGCCCCAGCCCTGGACTTGGCCCCGAGACTGTTTGCCCACTTGGCTCGCTACTTCACCCCTCCTCACTTCGGACTCTCCACCCCTCGCACGGGATACGTGTGTCACCAGCGTGGGGCCATTTTGTATCAGATAGGAGATCTGAAGTGCTCTGAAACCTGTAAGGATCACGCCTCTGCTGATCTGGGCGCCCCTGGAGAACAGAGCCTCTGTGTGACACCTGTCACTCAGCAGCCAGCCTTTAGCGTGTGGGTGTTCAAGTTCAAGAGGGTGGGGAGAGGCAGATGGAGCTTAGAGGCTGGCTGGGGCACCTGGTGTACCTGTAAATGGGTGTGTCGGGGAAACCGTACATGCCCACGATCCCCAGCTCTCGTCATCAGATAGGGAGGCGTCCAGGCTGGCCGCTGTTCACAGCATAGGTCCAGGAGGGGACAGCTAGTATCCCTGGTCCGGGAAGTGGCCTTGTTAGAAAGGTGGACCCTCCAGAGCTCAGTATGTCCATGCTGTCAGCATGTTCTTCCCTGGACCTAACTCAGACCTGCCGAGCCAGCTGTGTGTTGAGCTACCAGAAGGTGGAGAGGAAATGAGCCTCCAAAGCCACCCCAACTTCTTTCTTCTTACTGGCCTCTGGGGGTGTCTTGATTAAACTCTTGTTTTGCAGGGGCAGAGCTTGATGTTGGTCATTACAACCCCAGGTTATGGTTCTCCAGGGAATCGACTTATACTGACCAGACTCACAGAGGACAGATAGAGAAGTCAGAATAGGCTAGTGCCTTAATATGCAGTGGTTTCCGCTTATCCACGGTTTCACCTTTTGCGGGTTCAGTTACCCAGCTTCTGGGGGTTCTGGGCGTTCCTTGGCTTGCGGCTGCATCACTCTCGTCTTTGCCTCTGTTGTCACGTGGACTTCTCTTGTGTCCATGTGTCTCTTCACCAGTTGTACTGGGCTAGGGGCCTACTTTACTCCAGTATGACCTTATTTTAACTAATTACAGCTACAGTGACCCCTTTTCCAAATAAGGCCATATGCACAGGTACTGGGGTGAGGACTTCAGCATATCGTTTTGGGGACACAGTCGACTCCCATCACTGTCTTACGAGCAGATTCCTGTTGCTCCGTTGCCTGCTTCTGTGTGCCGGGTGCCCGCCCACACTCATGGCTCCCTGCTCCCTGGTGCGCACCTGGCCTCCATGGGCTGGAACCAGCTGACTCCCTGAGGTTGTGCCCACAGGTGTCCATCGCCTTCCAGGACCTGGCCGTGCGGTTCTCTGAGGAGGAGTGGCAGCTGCTGGGGGAGGGGCAGAGGGAGCTCTACAGGGATGTGATGCAGGAGAACTACGAGGCGCTGGTGTCCCTGGGTAAGGAGCTGGCAGTGCCCTGGGCCTTGCTGGGAGGGGTGGCCTGGGCCCTGGCTGAAAGTGGAAGGGGGTTGGATCCAGCACCAAGCACATCCAGAGTCTCCCTGGGACCCTGGGATCCCCCGTCCCAGGCCTTGGCCTTCATTTACAAAAGGAACACCGTTGAGGCGACCCCCGAGAGCCTCGGCCACGCTGGGGCTCACTGGTGTTTCCACTGTTCCTGTGCACTGCGCTGCGGTGCTGGGACGCTGTGGTGGGCCAAGAAGCTGGCGGAGCACCGAGCAGGTGGTTTCCGGGGGGTCTGACGTACTGCGGTTCTTGGGTTTGGATGGTCCCATGAACACGTGTAAACGGGCGCATGGATGTGTGGGTGCCGGGGCCACCTGCATGCTTGTGCTTAGGGGCGGAGGTGAGCTTCCATTGCAGGGTGCCTGTCCCTCTTTCTCAGGGACAGCTGAACTGCTCCCCCTCTCTGCCTTCCTGTCTCACACGGAGCCCGGAGGAACCATGAGCAGGAGCACAGCTGGTGAGGAACAGGAGCCTCCCCGGGGAGGTGCCCTAGGTGAGTAACCGGTAGACAAAGGCTAGGCCCCTGTGGGTGTCTTGGTCCCCCTGGGCAGCCTGGGCCCAAGTGGACTCACTTGTGTCCCTCCCACCATGCGGTCCTTAGCCCCCAGGTCCACTCCTCACAGGACACTGTGACATCAATCTTCCCCACCTTGACCCTAACACCACCTTGACCTTTCACCCCTCGTCCGTCTGGGCCGGGAGCCTGGTACACTTGCCCATTGAGTGACCTGCTCAGAAGAAACCTGGGGTCGCCCTTGGAGTGCTTCACCTCTGTAGGTCCCCTTCCTGCCACCACCCATGCAGAGCCCGCCTGCGGCTCCCGAAGGTGCTGCCCAAGGCCGGCATCCGGAGACCTCAGATGGTAGATACAAGCCCATGGGCCCAGACTGGGCAAGGCCGGGAGGCTTAGGCGGCTGCCAGGAAAGGCAGAGGGCTCTGTGGTGGGAGGCTGCGGGAGGCCCCCTTGGCGTTCCCCTCAGAGGAGTAGGGATAGCAAGTGACAGCGTGTCGAAGAGGCCAGTTCCTCCGGGTCCCAGCCCCAGGCTTGGCTGTGCCCGAGGGCAGGTCGCAGGCCTGAGCCCGGTCCTTGTCTCCCAGCCATCGGTCCCCTCTGCCGCCCCTTATGTGGCACAAGGACCACGTGCGGTGCGGTGTGGAGACACAGAGGCGTGAGTGCCGAGCTGACGTGGGGTGTGGGTTCACTGTGGCCTCTCTGGCAGGAGGAGCACCCCAGCACAGCCTGCACCTCACCGCCCTGGTGCAGCTGGTGAAGGAGATCCCGGGGTTCCTGTTCGGGGAAGTCGGCCCCGAGAACGGGGGAGCCAGCCTGGATGGGGAGCGGGCGAGCCCCGAGGGTAAGTCGGACAGCAGGCAGCCTCTGCGGCCACAAGGTGACGTTCCAGCTGTGGGCAGTGCCGTGTGCCCGCCCAGCTGCCGCCAGACCCGAGGTGGAGTCACTCCACGTCATACCTCTGAGAGCACGCGGGCAGCTGAGACTGCAGGTTCTCACTTTTCTCATAGTGGTGTCTATATGGCTGCACCCACACCCTCTGGTCCCATCCCATGGTGCCTTGTGTGGCAGGTGAGGCCCGTCCCTGTTCTGTGGGTGAGGAAGGCGAAGCTGTGCCTTGTCGGGGCGGCCAGTGGGGACAGTTCCCCCTCCCAGTCTCCGCCCTCCCCTGTGCCATGCGCACCCACCCTTGCCAGCTCCGGCCGCTCCTCCCCCGGGGCCTGTCCCCATCAGCCCAAGCCCATAGCATGCCTTTGAGTCTGCTCAGCTGATGGTAAATGAAACAGAAAGTGGGGGTGGGAGGGATTTTATCAGAACAAGACCGTGACTGTGAGTTGACATTTGAGAGCTCGGGTGACAAGACAGAGCTCACTGATGTCCTGGTTGTTGTCAGCGGAACCTGGCAAGGACGGGCCGGAGTGGGAGCCCTTCCCTGCTGCTGGGCTCAAATTCCAGCTTCGTGCCTTCTCCCTCCTCCCCACAGCAGCTGTGACGGCGGGGGCTTGTCCTCTCCAAGGCCTTCCAGAAGGCTGCCTGCCAGACACGCCCATCGACCAGCCCAGTCTGGCCACCACACCCAGTGGAAGCTCCTCAGCCAGCGGTTCCCCTGGAGCCAGGGGGCAGGGAAGCCCCCTCCCCAGCAGTGAGTGTGACCCAGTGGGGACAGGGCACCAACCCTGGAGTCGGGGACTGGACCCCGTGCCCTGTTCGTTTCCTGTTCATTTGCTAAATGGAGACAAGCTCCCTGGCGGGCAGGACCGGGACTCGGCCTCTGTTTGCAGACCAAGAGGAGGTGTGGTGCTCAGTGCCCGGTGGCCTCTCCCGGGCCCTCTGAGTGGGATGTGTGCTCACCCTGCTCCTGCAGCTAAGTGGGGGGCTGCTGCTGACGTGCAAGCCCTTCAGCAGGTGACGTACCTGTGCGCACCTGATCTGATTCTCAGACCTTCTCACCAAGGCAACCCTAAGGGCAGAGGAGGGCAAGGGTGGCCATTAGAATTTCTCTGGGGTCTCACTTTAATTTTTAAAATTCTTGCACGTCTCTTTTTAATCCTCACCCAAGGATATTTTTCTATTTATCTTCAGATTGAGTGGGAGGGGGAGAGAGGGATAAAGAGAGAAACATTGATGTGAGAGGGACACATTGACTGGCTGCCTCCCACACGACCCGACCAGGGCCAGGGATGAATCACAGCCGAGGTACATGTCCTTGGCTGGAATTGAACCCATGGCCCATTGGTCCGCGGGCCGATGCTCTACCACTGAGCCAAACCAGCCATCGCAAAGTCTCCGGCATTTTGCATTTATTTGCCTATTGTTTTTATTAAAAGTATTTACAATTAATATGGAATAAAATGGGCACCTCTGAAAATCATACCCCACCTGGCCTGTGGACTTGGGTGTCACCTGGGCTCCACGTCACCACTCTTGACAGGCGTGAGTGCAGAGCGAGGCCTGCACGCTGAAGTTGCTGGTGGGCTGAGCCCAGCCAGGGGCTGCGGTTGGGAGAAGGCCCCAGGCAGTGGGCATGAGCTGTCGGTATTTACTGACACCAGGAGGGTCCAGGGAAAGGACCCCCTGGAAGGGGCTGGCTGTGACCAGTTCAAGTTCCCATGACTTGGCTGCCCCCTTGGGATCTGGGGGCTGGAGGGCCTGTTTCTGTGTGGGCACCAGGTCTGGGCAGTTCCCCGGGGTCAGGAGCAAGGGCTGGAAAGGCCTCCCCGTCTCTCTTGCTACAGAAGCTGCAGACACAGCTGGGCCTGCAGAGAAGGAAGGCCCTGGAGCCCCAGGCCGGGAGCGCTGTCCTCCCGCCTGTAGCCCCGGCAGAAGGAGGAGCCACAGAAAACCGCTGGGAGGGGCTGCAGGGGCAGGTGAGAGGCTGGCTGGCCTGAGCACAGGGTCTGTCCTGGAGCTGAGTGTGCCAGGGAATGGAGGCCTCTCCCGTCTCAGCCTCCTGACTGCCCACAACAGGCACCTTTCCCTCGGGTGGGACATCGCAGATGCCCTGTCTCGGCCTCTCCCGTCTCAGCCTCCTGACCGCCCACAACAGGCGCCTTTCCCTCGGGTGGGACATCGCAGCTGCCCTGCCGTCCCGCGGCTGCCACCAGCAGGGCTGCACTGACCTTGCTGATCTTGCAGGTCCCGAAGGAACCTCTCCTGGGAGCAGCCCCCTGCAAGGCCTCATCAACTGCCTGAAGGAGATCCTTGTGCCTGGGCCCCAGCACCCTGAGGCGTCCCTGAGCCTGCCTCCTCCTGTCCCTGGCCTGGGCATGTCACGGCTAACCAGGGTGGAGCCGGGGCCTGGGGGCCCTCCCTGGGCAGGTGAGTCCTAGGGACCTGTCTCAGGCCGAGGTTTCCGAAGCCCCTAAAACTCGGATTGGTTTTCTGCAGCTATTTCCTGGTAACCAAGCGTCTTCCCGAAGGATCGCTCTCACTTGGCTGCTGCGGTGTCGCCAGGGTCACACTGCTGGAGTCGATGGCTTTCTCAGAACAGCCTCTGGGCAGCACGTGGGAGAAAGCTCGGAAGCAGACCTTGGGTCCTTCCGTGGTCTTTATTCGCCCCGATGTGGGACCTCGGAGGAGAAGGTGCTGAGTGTCACTGCACCCGGACACTGAGTGGGACACTCAGCGTGGACTTGGGGGTCAGGGTGGTGGGGGCAGGGACGCCTGTCTTGGAGCACAGCCCCTGTCAGCTGTGCATACCGAAGGCTCCCGAGGCCTTTGAGCCTCAGTTTCCCCCTCTGTAAAAGGAGGTCATAGTTCTCGCCTAAGAGGGTTGTGTGAGGCTTAGGTGCAGTGATATGCGTGTGTGTGTGTGCGTGTGTGTTTGTGTGAGGCGTGGCCTCTGTGTAAGTCCTGTTCAGGGCCCGGAGGACGGTCTGCACGGCAGCCTGTCGGCCTTCTCCTCCCTCTGCGCTCGGAGTCGCACCAGCTCTGTGGCTACCTTCCCTCTTCTGCCCAGTTCCGGGAGGTGTGGGGCAGCTCTTTCAGGCCTGCTGCCAGGCGACAGATGACCCACATCTCCAGATCTCTGCCCTGAACTCCTACCTGCTTGTCACCAAGACGGAGGACACCAGGCTCTGGGTGAAAATGTGTTTCTTTTCCTGCAGTGAAAACAGAGGCAGCGTCCGGGGATTGTCCCCTCCAGGGTCTGCTGAACTGTCTGAAGGAGATCCCGGTGGCCCAGGACGTGCACCGCAGCCCTTCGGGAGTGGGGCACCCGCAGCTGCAAGAGGATCCGGGGTCCTGGAAAAGGAATTGTGGAGGTAACGGCCACTGACTGGGCTCAGGACCCGCACGTCAGCCATTCCTGCTGCTGCTCCAAGCAGGGCTGTGGGTGACGCTTCGTAGTACGACACACAGGCATCACTTCTGTGTGTTGGTCGGAGAGGCCAGCTGTTGGGTTTGTCACCAGAAGTAGAGCTGATCACGCAGCAGTCTGACCATTTTCCAGATCAACTCAGAGTAGGGGCCGGAATTCCAGGAGGGAGGGTGTGGTGAAGACGTGGGGAGACAGAGCAGAAGACAGCTCCAGCCCAGTAGGCATGAGGGGCATCACTTGGATGGGGGTTCTCGTCCTGTCGGCGTGGGCTGCGTGGGATTCCCACGCACTGCAGCCCACCCGTGCTCGGCAGCTCCTGCGGAGGTTGAGAAAGTGGAATTGAGACGCTCTGCTGGCCGTGGAGGGAAGATGCTGTGTGTGCTGTCTCGGGAGGACTGACTGCTCTGTGTAGAAACCTCTGGAGGCGCCTGGGGCGTGGGGGAGCCTGGTGGGGGCAGGGAGTATGCGTTGGTCCGTCTGCTGGTGACTGCGTGGTGACTGCCTCCGAGGGGAGACTGCAGTGCAGGCCAGGGGCCTCAGATCCCGTCCTAACCCCTGAGGCCTCATGGAGGGCTTCCCACAGGGCCCAGACCCCTGCAGACCCCTCCTCCCTGCCCCGGTGCCGGCCTCGTGCTCCCTGTGAAGACGGAGGACGGCTGGGCTCCAAGCCCCCCAGTGCCTGCGTCCTGTCAGCTCCGCAAGCGGACCCACGCCCCCGGTGCCACCAGCAGCCCAGCGGGCGACAGAGACACCAGTGGGGTCCGCGTGCCCAGCTGGGGCTCCACAGCTCAAGGTGAGGCCTGGGTTGTCTGCTTGGGACCTGATGGGGTTCTCAGCCTCCCAACAAAGTTCTGCCTGCTCACAGGGGAAGGAGCAGGACCAGTCCAGGGGAAGAGCCCGGCTGCCCACCTCCAGCAGTTAGTGCTGACTTAACACACGCCCTCCTGACTCTAGCCCTTGCCCGGGAGCCCTCCTTGTAAGGACCTTCACTTGCAGAGACTTCCTGAGTGTCAGGAGCTGGCCACTCATACCTGTGGATCTCCCGCCTGCCCCGGGGCCTGGGGCACAGTCTGTCATTCCCCCTGTGAACAGAGAGCAGATCCAAGTCCCTGCAGGAGGTGTCCTGTCCTGCCTGGCAGGCTCCCACCCTGGTGCAGGACTTGTCATCCCAACAGAAGGTGGGCGGGGCAGCCAGCCTGGGGCCAGGCCAGGGGACCTGCCAGAGATGGTGATAAGGCCATCTCCCCTGTCCCAGCCAGCAGTGCCTCGAGCTCACCTCTGGAAGCCCTGGAGGCCTGTCTGAAGGGCATTCCCTTGAGTGGGTCGTTACCTCCCCAGCCGCCAGCCACCTCTTGGTTCCGGAGCCCCCAGCCAGGAGACCCTGGGTCTCAAAGGCCCGAGCTACAGCCCCGAGGATCACACAATCAAGGTAGACTTGGCCATGAGTGGGGGTGGTGTTTGTCCTTGTGCAGGCATTGCGGGGGGATGCCGAGGACCCCGTCATGTCTCCTCCTCATCCTGGGCCTCTGAAAGTGCAGGTCCTTCTCCCCTTCTACCCCCTGCCCCCTTTCATGCTGTCCCCAAACAGCTCCTGGACTGGGTGGAGGCCAATATGGCTGTCCCTGCCCACGACCTTCCCTAAGAGCTCGGCTTGCTCTCCAGCCCCGTGAGACCAGTGGCTGGGTTAACGCTCTGCAGTATTTTAACCAGCGCTGTGAGCGCCCTAACCAACCAAAGGGGAGACCCCGGCAGAAGATCCTGTAGGGCAGGTCTCCTGGGCACCTCCCACAGCTCAGGGCACGGGGACCTCTTTTCTGGGGCTTTTCCGTGATGCCCCCTGTGCTGTTTCCTGCAGGCGTGACTGTGGGGCCTCTTCTGGCTTTGGGCCTGCAGGGCTTCGTCAGGGATGGCCCTGCCCTGCCCCCAGGTCCCCGCGGCACCCCCACCAGCTTCTCCTCATCCAGCAGTACTGATGGGGACCTGGATTTCCAGATCTCCGAGGGCAGCCAAGGGCGTAGGCCTGGCAAAGGTGAGCTGGCTGTCCTGAGGCTCAGGGTTGACCCTGGGAAAGGGTGGGAGGCGCCCAGCCCACTGTGGTGACTGTCCTCCCTGGTTAGGGCCCTGTGCCCAGTGCTGGCAGCAGAGTTGGTGCCCAGACAGCAGAGACACAGGACTTGTTTTGGGTGGGCGTGTCTGTTTTAGCAGCTTGGCTCACAAGGGTCAGGACAACATCTGAGATTTCGTAAAAGAAGCCCTGGCCCGTTTGGCTCAGCGGTTAGAGCATAGGCCCATGATCCAGAGAGACCCGGGTTCAGTTCCCGCTAAGGGCATGTATCTCGGTTGCAGTTTGTCCCAGGCTCTGGTTGGGGTCGTGCGGGTGGCAGCCATTCGATGTGTCCCTTTCATGTCGATGTTTCTCTCTCTCTCTTCATTTCTCTCCCTCATACTCTATCTGAACAAAAAATGGAAAAATGTCCTCAGGTGAGGATTAAAAAAAAGAAAGATAAAAAGGGGTCACCCTGGCCAGGTGGTGAAAGGTCCCATACACTGAAAGGTCGCAGGTTCGATTCCTAGTCAGGGCGCACACCTAGGTTGCAGGTTTGGTCAGGGCACACATGGGAGGCAACCGATCGAGTTTCTCTCTCTCACTCACTCTCTCACTTAGTCTCTCTTTCTCTCCCCACCCCTTAAAAATCAGTGAAACTTTCCTTGGGTGAGGATTTAAAAAAGATAAAGAGGGGTCTTTTTTAGTGAATTCCTCCTTATCCCAGTCACAAGAAGTGCCTGTGGTATCAGACTGACCTCTGACTTAGGAAAAGAAGATCATGAGGTCCCTGTAAAAACATTGAAAGTGTACTTGGTGACTTGCGTCTCCCCAGGTCCCTTGCCTAGAAGCATCCATGGTGAGCTGTTTACCTCTTTAGAATCTTACAAGACTCTCCAGTGTCCCCTCTTGACTCTTTTCCCCCACAAAAATAACACCGACCTCGGTCTGCCGTATTCACAGCCTCCAGCCCCGTCCATTGTCAGTGCCAAGGCCTGGGCCCACCCAGGACTCTGAGTCAGGCCAGTCGAGGCCCAGAGGACAGTACTAGGGCCCTCCAGTGTCCATGCAGCCTACCAGGGGTCAGCACCTTGTGCATGGGGGCGTTTTCCTCCCAAAACACAGCTGACTTTCCTTTTTAATGTTTAGTTCTAAATAGGTAGTACAGTCACGTGGTCTGTTCAGAAGCCCAGCACGTCATGCGGGGAAGGTGATGTCTCCCTCCCTCCCCGCCCCCCAGCACCCGTGGTGGCGCTCCTGCCGCCAGTGCTCCTTCTCACCTTCCCCAGGCTTCCTCCCGCGCCCAGGCCCCTTGCTGCGCAGATGCCCCCCTGCTTTCTGTGTGGCGGTGAGCTCTGCCGCCTCCCTGTGCGCCGCCTTGGTGCTCCGTGGACTCCGCGGCACCTGCAGCACCCGCGCGTTTCCATAGCTGCAGGCCTTCCCTCGCAGGGCGCAGCACCTTTCTTCCCTGGGCCCCCTCTGGTGACGGCCCTTGTCTCTGCGAAACCCAAACTGCAAGGAGCTCCCAGCCCCTCTCCCCAGCTCTGCCTGTTGCCCGGGACTCAGCAGTGCCTCATGGGAAAGACCGCATTCGGGGTTCTTCTCATCGACACCTGGCCATTCCAGCCCCACACGCCAGCGTGATCTCTCTCCCTGCACTTGGCCTGTCCTGGCTGCTGCAAATGCCTCCAGGAGAGGACATGGCCAGAGAGGCCAGCTCCCGTAGGGAGGGCTCGTCCCTCCAGGATTGCGGCTCGTCTAGTTACCGTCCACTCTCTCTGTCACGTGGGATTTTTGCAGTTTATTTGGTTCTGTTTCCTAACTGAACTGCATTAGTGTTGGTCTTCCTGACCTACCCCATCATACCCCAGAGGGCGCCTTTGGCGTTTCCCCTCTGTGAGTAGAGAGGGCAGCCCGGTGACGTCCGGTCCCGAGGGCTGTCCTGTGGACGAGGCTGGGTGGCGGCATCTCTCTCAGAGCTAGAGCTGGGTGTCCTGACCCTGTGCCTGTGGCCAGTCTCCCGCATCACAGCCCCCTGACCTGGCTTCCAAGTCGGTGGCTGAGACAGGGTGGCCCAGCCCGGCCGTAACAGGTCCAGTGCTCTGTGCCTTCTCCCGGGGGCCCAGCTGCCCTGGGCACGGCGCAGGCAAGGCCCCAGGGTTCCCAGAGGCCGAGCTGACTGCCTCATGCTGCAGATTTGGGTTTTCACAGGAACCCCAGTCGGAAGTGCTCCACTCCAGGGCCTGGAGAACTGTCTCCGAGAAATACCTGTGCCCAGGTCACAGCCCACCTGGTCCTGGTCCTCAGCAGGGGACAGAGAACCACGGAGAGTGGAGCCCAAGGCCTGGACAGCAGACAAGGAAGGTAAAGCGTGGTTGCTTGGGGGTCTGGGGGCAGGAAAAGGTGTTCTGTGCTGGCTCCCCGGGCGCTGTCCCCCAGCAGCCGGTGGGCCCACTTCCGTCCCCAAGATGGAAAGAAGCTCTGGGAACGCCCCAGGCAGAGGCTAGTGTGAACCCAGAAAGCCAGAGTGATGCCCCCTGCGAGGGGGTGCAGTCGGCAGGGCCGTCGCTGCCGAGTCCAGGCCTGAGCCTGGCCGTAGAGGACTGTCTTGGTCGTGGCCCACATGCCTTGGTGTTGGGCATAGTCTTGGAGCTGTGGGCCCCCAGGAGTCCAGGTGGCGGGGTCTTAGGAGGTCCTGCAGGATTTGGGCGGCCCCTGGGAGCACCTGAGGGCTGGTGTGTCCCGCTCCTGCAGCTCCTGTGCCTGAGGATCCAGCGATGGTAGCACCTTCTCTGTCCGCTAACTTCCTTCCTTGGCGCGACACCGCCCTGAGGGACTGACGGGCCTCTCGTTCAAACAGGACTGAGGAGCGAGGCGAGCGAGCCAGTCCGCCCCAGCGGGGACGTGCCCACCCGGAGCCTGCGGCCAGCCAGCCCGCAGGCACTCGCCTCCAGCAGTGTCCCTGCCTGCTGCCAGCGAGGGCTCAGAAGCCATGCGGCCACCAGGCCAGGGCCATGGAGGTGGCTCCAGGAGGGTGAGCTGACGTCTGCCCCCAGCACTTCCTGGCACGTTTTCCCTCCAAACCGTGTTTGATGAGGGGATCGATTTCCCTTCCCTCTGTTCCTCTGCTCTTCCCCAGCCTGCCGCCCGGCACGTGCGGGTGCAGGGGCTCCCTCTGCGCCGTGGCCCCTCGTTTAGCTCGCAGCAGAGCTCCATCCCGGACCTGCCTGAGGGCTGGCGGGCTGGGGCTTGGCAGGAGCTGGCTCTGGGGGTCCCCTGTGGGCGTCAGAGTCTGCTGTTGGGCGGCTGGTCTGAGGAAGTGGAGTAGGAGGAGCCAGGGCCTGGCTGGAACCAGTGACCAGTGGAAAGTTCCCCAGCTGTCTTTCCAGAGGAGTAGGGGCTCTGGCTTCGCTTCTCCCCACCATCATGGCAGAGAGGGTGTTCGGGTCCCCCCGAGATTGTCTGGGTTGGTTGGCTGGGCTCTGTGCCTGCTCACTCAGGCAGAGGGGCCTCCTACCTGTCGTTTGCCCAGGGGCAGTCACCACGCCCTCCCCACTCCACTGCCTGGAGAGCTCCCTGAAGGGGATCTTGCCTGGGAGGCCCCTGCGCTTCACCTGCTTGGCCGGCCCCGGCCCCGGCCCCAGCCCCGGCCCCAGCTCCAGCTCCAGCTCCAGCTTCAGCAGCTCAGAAGGAGAAGACCCCAGGCTGGAGCCTGAGCCCTGGCAGTCGCTCCTGCAGGGTGCGCTTGTGGGGGGAGAAGAGGCGGGGAGCTGTGCCCAGGCCGGGGCGCCACCCTGATACCAGCTTTGTGATGCAGACAGGGACCCTCTTCCCAGCAGCAAGAGTCCTGGCCCTCTGACCGCCAGCTCCAGCGGCCCCCCGACCGGCGGCAGCACTGGGACAGGCCCAAGGAGAGCAGAGCCCAGGGACCACTTGGTTCTCAGCTCAGGTGAGCCTGGGGTCCCCTGAGGGCCATGTCCCAGGAGGGCCACAGCCCAGAGGCTGAGTTCTCTGAGTCCCACCTGTCACTTTGTCTGACTCTTGCCAGAAAGTTCTCTACTTTGGTCACACGTGAGTTCCCCGTAAGATGAGTCGTGTCGGAGAGAGACGTGGGGCTGTGGAGGCGCTCAGGGTTCCAGGAGTGTCAGCTGAGCGTGTTTCGCTGGAAAGCCTGGCAATGAACTTAGTGTATGTAGGTTACAATGTTACACACACACACACACATTTATATATATATCGTATACGCACTGTGCACGCTTAATGCGTGCGTGTGTGTGTGTGTGTGTGTGTGCTGCTGTGCGGGCCAGCCTGTGGACAGCGATGCCCTCAGCTGGGACTGCCTGAGGCCCTCACCGGCCCCGTTTCTCAGTGCGAACCCCGCAGACATCCCCACACTGGGGCCAGTGTTCTGGCTGGACTGCCCTGTGCTTTTTATCATAATCATAGGACACGGTTCGGCAAAAACCATCATACAGCTTTGAGGAACAGGATGTATCACTCACAGGTCACAGCAGAGAGAGAGTGCGGGGGCCTGGGGCTCTGTCACCATCATGGTGGGGTGTCTAGGGTTTGGTGGGCTCATCTTTATTGGCCAATTTAAAGCCCAGGAGCAGGAATCGGGACACAGGAAGGGAGAAGGGTCACTCAAATGGTCGGTTATCCAGGTCACCCAGAGCCTTCCGAAAATGGGGCCTTCCTGGGGGTGGGGCAGCCTGGCTTCTTACCTGGCTGCTGGCCGGGAGCTGTCCTACCTCTGGCACTATGTCTTCCGAGATGGACGTCTTCCAAAATGGACACCTCGGCAAGCCAAGGCTTAAGTTAATGTCAGGGACTTACACTACATGTAAATAATATACAGTTTTTTAAAGATTTGGCAATAAATATAAAAGTGTTAGCGTGAGGCTAGGAGAACTGAGAGGTTGTCCTGTCAAAGCCGGACCCCTGCCTACCACCCCAGGCCCCCGCGCTCCTCGGCCCGAGCCTGACGCAGTGTTTGGCCCAGCAGGAGGAGCAGAGGAGAAGATGGGAGGCAGGTCCCTGGTGCCCAGGACAGAAGTGTGCTTGGAGGCCCCGGGCCCGCCTGGCCCCCCGGGCAGCACCCGAGGAGGTACGGGAGTGGGGATCGGTCACAGAAGGGGGCTCCCTTCGAATTCAGACTGGTGGCCCCACACAGTCCTTGGCCTCTCTGCAGGCCTAGGCTGTACCCACGTTCCTCACTGCCCAGTGGGGCTGGCGGGAAAGCACAGCGGGCTGGGCATGAGCCATACCGTCTTCGTGGCCCGCGGGGTGCCCTGGCGTCCCTGGTGGCGTCTCACCGCAGGTCGTGGCCCTCTGCAGCTGCTCCCCGGCCCCTTCCCCTGGTAGAGCTGGGGGTGCTGTGCTCGAGCTGCAGAGGACCCCAGATAGTCCAGTCCCTATCCCCTGTCACAAAGGCCCAGCAAGCCACTGAACCAGAGCTGGGCTCCCTGATGGGTCCAGTGTGTCCATCTTGCATCTCACTTAGTTGTTATTTGAGAGTTGCAAGTACGATTATCTTAGGCCGTGTCGGTGTGTTCCCATGTTAGAGTGACTGTCAGAACGATACATGTGCACTGCCCGCGTGTTCTGTGCTCTCTGCAGGGCCAGCCGGGAGTCCCTGCCCTGCCCCTCGGCCTGAGAAAAGGCCTGGGCCAGGGCCCTGCCAGCCTCCCGGGCCAGCCGCTCAGCCCCTGTCCTGGAAGCTCAGGGTTAGTGAAGAATCCGGGGGCCTGGGGCCTGGACACAGAGGACCAAGTGTTGCAGGTGAACTGGTGGCCTCCCTGTCCCCTCGATTCATTAGGAGCCCTGGGCACGGGGGTGGGCAGGGGTCAGCATCTGCACAGCCCTGCACCCCGCTTCCCGCTGCCCAGCTCCCTCCTGCAGGGGCCCAGCTGGGAGAAAGCTTTTCTTAACACTCTTCAGGATTATTTGGGTCACCAGGGGCAAATGTCTCACCTTGAACTCACTTCAGGTTGCTCATTTCATTTCAGTATTTTCTTACAGAATCAGCTGGCTTTTTTGTAAAAGCATAGATTTCATACCTTTCAGAGGCAAAACAGAAATTGAGACTTGTGCCAGAATAGACACGCCCAGAATCAGTTTGGAGTGTGAGGGGCCCTAGAGAAGAGAGGGGGAATGTGATCTGGCGGAGGCAGCTCAAGAGGTGCCAGGTGGTCCACATCTCGCCTGGAGGAGGCTCCTCCCTGAAGCCCGTTAGAGACACGGGCTGGGTCTCCGGGTTCACTCTGGGACACGCGTGGAGATCCTCACACAGGACTCCAGTGTGGCCCTCGGTGGCTCTGTCGCTGGCTTGTAGGTCAGGCTGTTTTTGTGTGCGTGTGTTTTGTTAATCCTCACCTGAGGATTTTTTTTCCGTTAATTTTTAGAGAGAGGAAGTGGGAGAGGTAGGGGGAGAGAGAAACATCGATGTGAAAGAGACACATTGATTAGTTGCTTCCCTCACAAGCTCCGGCTGGGGCCAGGGTTGAACCTGAAATCCAGGTACGTGCCCTTGACCAGGAATCAAACCTGTGATCCTTGGGTGCGCAGGCCAACGCTCTAACCACTGACCCACACCGGCCAGGGCAGGTGTGGCTGTTTTATTGCGAGTGCTGCGCTGGCCTGAGGCTGGCAGGCCTGTACCTCTCCCTCGGAGGGGCGTGCACCTGCCACAGCATCGAGGTTGCTTGCCCTTAGCTCAGATCCTTCTGGAACTTGACCAGGTGGCGATGGGTCCCTGCCGCTCCTCCAGCCTCTCTTTCCTCTGATTGAAGCTCTGGAGGAAGGAGCCCGGCTGGGGCTCAAGGGCAGGGGAGCAGCAGGGCTTTCTTGTAACATTTGCCTGAGGCGGAGATCAGGCCCCAGGGAACGTAGGGTGAAGGATTAGGTGATTTATTTATTTGTTTTTTTTTGGTATGTGCCCCTAGCGGGAACCGAACCCAGGACTCTCTGGTCCGCAGAGCCAAACTGGCCAGGGCGGATTAGGTGATTTAAAAAAGAGACTCGAGCCCCACTGAATCTGTAATTTCTGAATAGGAAGGACAAAAGTTGGGGTTGGAGGATCCCTGGTGGGTTGCTTATGACCGGTCACACGGGGTATGACGTGGACCCTTGGTCATCCCACTGGCCCTCCTGGGTCTTCTTCCAGATGCTACCCATTGGCCTCTTGCTGTCTGCTGAGGCCTCTCCAGGCCCACTGACTCCCTAGGGCACGGTTAGGTGCCCTCAGGTGCCATTTATTCCCAAAGATGGAGATGGTACGAGAACCTATTGATCCTTTTCCTAGAAAGTCCTATGTCCTAAGAAATGTTAGTTACCATGGGGACCCAATCTGTGGTTTATCCTGTTCATGAATTGGGGGGACAGCTGGGAGGTGTGGGGATGTCATGAGCATTGTCATTGATGTTCTCCAGCCTGAGTCACTCCCTTCCGCCTGCAGTCGGCCTTAGTGGGCAGGACGCTGCGTACGTTAATCCAGGGGACCCCGGGTGGGAGAGAAAGGCCCTGAGACACTGAGAACTCTCACCCCGCACCCCTGCTCTGCTTTCAGCCAGGACCGACAGGAGGCCACTTCCCAGAGGCCTTCCTGAGCCGCCCCCCGTGGCCACCGTCCCTCCCGCCTTGCCGCCGGCCTCCCCGCAGCCGCCACCGTGTCCCTGCGGGAGTGCCCTGCAGCAGGAGCTGCGCAGCCTCAGCGCCACCCTCTCGGAGAAGCTGGATCGGCTCGCCACAGCCCTGGCAGGCCTGTCCCAGGAAGTGGCCACCATGAGGACCCAAGTGGATCGACTAGGGAGGCGCCCTCAGGGCCCTGGGCTAAAGGGCCAGGCTTCCTGGCCGTGGGGCCACCCCCGGCGACCTCACTGGATTCATGGCCCTGCTCACAGACACCTGCCCTACTGGAGACAGAGGGGCCCCACCAGGCCAAAGCCAAAGCTCCTGCGGGGCCAGGTGGAAGGCTGCAGGGCTGGCGACGCCTCAGGCCCCTCCCATGGGACGCTCCCCCCAGTGCCGCCTCTGCCTCCAGAGGCCCCCCGGGCAGAACCTCCTGGGACCAGCTCCAGCCCGGCCCAGCAGCCGCCATCCTCAGCATGCAGCCGTGCTGTGCTCACTGTGCACCCCCCGCCCGGACACACCGGGGGCCCTCAGAGCGCCCCTGCCCCTTCGGTGCCTGCTGCCTTCCCCCCCCAGATGGCCTCTCCTGCCACCAGCGCGGACGCAGAGCTGCCGGCTGCTGCAGCTGCACCAACTAGACCCCGAAACTGGCCCAAGGACACAAACAGCCTGCTGGTGGGAGTCCAGAGAGCCCTCGAGGAGGAACTGTGGGGTGGAGAACACAGGGACCCGAGGTGGGGTTCCCCTAACCGCCTTCTTCATCAGCTCAGCCCTGAGGGTGCCCTGCCCCCGGTCGCCTCTCCTAGGGGCCAGCCGGCTCCCGCACGCCACTCCAGCCAAACCTTCCCCATTTCTGGGCTGTGAAGGGCTGGGCGTGCCCCTTGGCCTGACCACCCCAGAGTCCAGGACGTGTTTGCTTGGGGGGCTCCCACTTGGGGTGCATCCCTTAGCCATACCTCTGTCCTCCTTGGCTTAGGTTCATTCAGATGTTCCCTTCCCCATCTTTGCAACCAGAACTGCCAGAGTTCAGAGGCAGGTGGTGGTGAACATACCTGTGCACAGCACGTGTACCTGGGGGGGCTTCAAGTGGCTGCAGGGGAGCCGGGAGAGCCCCTCTTCCTAACACCTGTTCGGCCTGCTTCGAGCTGAGAAGGCAGTGGCTCTCGCCTCCCGCTCGGTACAGGCAGACTTCACTTGGGGAGGACTCCCCTCCTTGGTCTGAGTCAGAGTCACCGTGTGGATTCTGAAACTTGCAAAGGGAAGGTGCCTACAGAAAGGGCTCGGTGGCTCCACAGCAAGGCATGACAGGCTGGTGTGGTGCCAGTACTGGGACAAGTGGGCTTGGCGGACAAGGACACCTGTGGCCAGTGCAGCCTAGGTGGTCAAGGTCCAATCAGACTGCAGGAAGTTCCCATCTTTTTTTAAAGAATGTGGAAAATGAGTAATAAAACGGATGGTAGGGGCTTCATGACCTGTGCTCCATCCATCCCACAGGGCCACTGCCACGCAACAGGAACTTGCACGGTTGTTCCTGGAAAGCCTCCGGGGTCATCGTTTTGGTGAAGAATCTGTGCAGTTTAGGACTTTGGGAGTGTGTTCAACACTTCACCTACTTCATGAGGAAATGTCGCTTTGGTGGGAGAAACTGGGGGGCCTTTTTGAACTCAGGAATTCCAGGAGTCTGGAGGTAGGGGCACAGAAGGCTGCAGCTCTGCCTGTCACCATCCTGGCAAGCGCCCTGGAGGGTGACTCCTGGCTGACCTGGGCATGGCCTTCCCTCCATCAGCCACTCGCCAGCCCCCGGCCACTGTCCGGCGGAACGGGAAGGTCCCGCTTCAATCAGCAGGATCCCCATGGGCTCCAGGTCACCCCAGGGGGGTCCAGTGGAAGAGGCCACAATGGGGTGGGGGTGCAGGGACCACAGTCTGCTGCCTAGGACACCCCATGGTGTCACGGCTGCCTCCAAAAGGAGTTTGCTTTATTGGCGGGCCAGACCTGACTTAGTCTTCTGTGTCTGTCTGAGATGTGGCTTCTGTAAACAGCCTGTAGTTGGATTTTATTTTTTAATCCAGCTCGACAAAGTTTTTTGTTCCTTGGAGCCCTGAAACCATTTCCATGTAATAAAATTACCGACATGTTTGGATTTGAATATCCCATCTTATCTCCTGCTTTTGTTTGCCTCGCTTGTGCCGGGGGTCTCCCTCCCTGCTTTCTTTTGTATTGACGATGTTGTGGGTTTTGTTTGTCTCTATACATTCCACTTTCCCTCCGCTGGCCTCAGCATTTAAAGAGCTAAAAGGAAAACATTCAAATTTACAGTCATATTTGGGAGATTTTAGCACGCCTTTTCCAGAAAGTTACTAAAATAATAAATCAGGAAGATACGGGAGATTTGAATAAGTCGACTAACAAACTTGGCTCTGTTGATGAATGTATAGAACACAGCACCACAGGACTGCAGAATATGTATTCTTTTCAAGTGCATGCAGGACAGTCACAACTGACTATATAGTAAACCCTGGAGCAAGAGCAAACAAATCTGGAAGTATACTGAATATGTTCTTTGACCATACTGTGCTTTTAAGCTAGAAACCAATAAAAAGTGAGAAATTCTTGTATACTAGAAAAATAAGAAGGCTCCTAAATAATCCATGCATCGATGAAAGAATATTTTGAACTAAACTATAAGAAAGTGCCACATACCAAACTTGGAGGATAGAGCTAAATCAGTACTCGGAAGTGCGTGGGCATACATGACTATGTGAAGGGAAAAGGCTGAGAATCTACAAAGACGTGAAAACAGGACAGCAAAGGAAATCCAGAAAAAACTTGAGGACACATAATGGTAAGAGCAAAGTGTGTGAGATGGCATTCATATATTAGATAAATCAAGAAAGCCAAAAAGTGTTCCTTTAACGAAGAATGAAATCGACCAGCTTGTGTAATTCATCAATAAAAAAAGGCACACATTGCTGCTTGACCTTTGGCTAAGATCAAGTGTGGGAAAAGGCACAAATAATCTCCAGAATGAAGGTGACATCGCTGTAGATGCCACTAGAGACCATATAAAAGTGAAAAGATATTTCAAGCAACTTAAAAATTTGAAGATTTGATTATACAACTCCCACAAGAATACAACTTAACAAAACAGACTCAAAAATAATAGTAAATAGTCATACAATTGAAAAAATTTGCATCAGATCAAACATCTTCCCAAAAAGGAAACTGCAGACTGACAGCTTCCCTGGTAAGTTCAGTCTCACATTTAAGGAGAAGGGTCATTTCAGGAATACACAAACTGCTCTAAAGAACAGGAAAATATGGAATATTATGAGACTAATATAACCTTGAAACGAAAGGTTGAGAAAGACAGTACAAGAAGACACTCAGAGGCCAATAATCCAAAAATGTGCAAAGAAGCAAAAATCCTAAACAAGCATTTTCAAACAATCCGGCAATTTATACAGAGAAATAAACCATCATGACCAAGTTGGGTTTATCTCAGAGATTCAAGGCTGGTTTTAACATTTGAAAACCACTAGTGGTCACCCACCACAATAATAAAGGAGAAAAGTCATCTGATCATCTCAATAGCTGCAGAAAGATGATTTGATAAGAGCCAGCATCCATAAATATGCTAAATTAGGGTGAGAAAGAGAATTGCTTAATTTGGTAGAGATCATGTACCCAAAATATTACGTGGAGCAAACATGATACTTAATGGTGATACATTGCATGTTTCTTCAGATCAGGAACAAGGAAAGGAAGTCCACTCCCTCACACTACTATTCAGCATTATAGTAGAGGTTCTGGCCAGGACAGTAAAGCAAGCGGAAAAGGAGGCATGAGAATCCAAAAAAGGAACAAAGGAGTCATTACAAGTGATATGACTGTTCACATAGACAATTGAAAGGAATCTATAATCATAAAAATTTTTAATTAAAAAATTTTATTTGTGCTTAAAAAAGTTCTAGAATCTAGGAATAAACAAGAAACTATATAGAGGAAACTATTGAGTGCTTTTTTTTAAATCCTCAACCGAAAATAGTTTTCCATTTATTCTCAGGCAGAATGGGAGGGGGAGAGAGAGAGCAACATCGATGTGGGAGGGACACATTGACGCTTCCTTCTGCACGACCCTGACCGGGGTTGGGGATCGAACCACAACCGAGGTACGTGCCCTTGACCGGGATCGAACCCACAACTCTTTGGTCTGTGGGCTGATGCGCTGACCACGGAGCAAAGCCGGCCAGGGCTTGAGCACTTTTTTTTTCCCTTCATTGATTTTAGAGAGAGAAGAATTGAAAGGGAGAGAGAGATAGAAACATCGATGAGAGAGAACATCGATTGACTGCCTCCGGCATGCCTCACACTGGGAATTGGGCCCACAACCTGGGCTTGTGTCCTGACTGAGAATCAAACTGACATGGGTCAATGCTCAACCACTGAACCACATCAACTGGACATTGAGCACTTTTTGATCATTTTCTTCCTGCCTTATTTCTCATAACAATTAAGGTAGATGTTAATACTATTATTATCATCCTTATTTTACAGATGAGGAAAGCAGCACAGAGAGGGTAATAAGCTTGCTCCAGGTCACACAGCCAGTAGGGGATTGAACTGCACTTGGAACTGGGGTAATTGGCTTCAGAGCAAAGTGGGGCCCTAAAACATGCAGAGCAAAAGCACACTGAAGCTGCACCCTAAGCCTAGGTTTGTGCAGTCTGAGGCAGAAAAAAAAATAGATTAATTTAAAAATTACCTGTGCCCTGTTCGATGTGGCTCAGTAGTTAGAGCAAAGAGACCCGGGTTTGACTCCAGCCAAGGGGATGTACCTCGGGCGCGGTTCGTCCCCAGCCCTGGTTGGGGTTGTGTGGGAGGCAACCAGTCGATGTGTCTCTCTCACATCCATGTCTTTCTCTCTCTCTCCCACTCTGTCTGAAGATAGATGTAAAAAAATATCCTCAGGTGAGGATTAAAAAAATAATAAATAAAAAGTACTTCCCTGCAACAACTACTTGTGAACTCTGTGAGTAGACACCTATTGTATCTGTGCACCAGCACAGTCAGGGACAGAGTGGGGGTTCAATAAACACGAACTGAGCATCTGGGTGAATGGTGCATTTGTTTGGGTTTGACACCAGAGAGGGAGGGTGTTGGAATAAATGTATTGAAATTGTTCATAGAACCCTCAGATTCTCATCGAAATGGAAGAGCTCACCATCGACACCTGGGGCTCCGCGCTGTGCCTGTTTCCCTTGGGCTAACAGGATGCTCAGACATTCCAGAAAGGAAGTTAGGGAAGTATTCTTTCTTAGTCCTGGAGGATTGGTGTCTGCCCAGCACATCCTCAGACACTCCATCCTCTCCATTTAAAATGTTTAAATGTTTGTGGCTTGGTGGTGACCTGGATTTGGACTTTCAGGTGATAAAGGGCAAGACCCTCGAACAGTGGTCCTCATCCCTGGGTGCACATTTGGGTCACTTGGGAAAAGTTTTGAAAATCAGGTTCAGGCCCCATTTATGCAGATTCTAATTCAATTGGTGTCAAGTGTGGTGAGCATTGTGTATGTCTATCCAGCTATCTGTCCATCCATCCATCTTTATATATATCTATTTAGTCATATATAAACTCTATTGGAATATAACAAATATACAGAAACGTGCACATATCCATTGGTATATTTTTAAGTTTCCAGGAGGTTCTAATGTGTTGAGAACCACTCTTGTTAGCAAAACTGTAGAACAATCAAAGTTTATCTTTGGGCCTTTCCCATGGTTTACCTTCAGCCTTTCTCCCTACTTACCATAAAGAGCTTCTGCATTGACCCGAGACCTACAACATCGCATGTATTTATTTCATTCCAAACTGAGAGAGTATCATTCCTGTCTGGGAGCCCCAGGTGGGCTCATGCACCTTCACCAGGTAACAAAAGTTCACCATAGGAGAGGGACCACAGACCTCTAGAGACAGGTGGGATCTCAGGGGAGGGAATGTGGGGTGTGGGGTGGAAGCCCCTCCAGTTGGAGGTCAGTGCTCCTAGCTGAGAATCATCACAAGAAATCTTTGCATTTTGCCAGAAAATGTCAATAGACTTTTCAGGCTCCCCTAAGCAGAAAAGGCGGCTCTCCTTGGTCTGGGGTGCCTCTTATCGCCCATCAAATCGCTTGAGAACCACTTTCTCTCAAGATTTAGGCAGAGTGGCAGGAAGCTGCATTTCTCGAATTCTGATGTAGGAGGGAAGAGCCGGGATCTGGTAGAAGAAAGGGGCTTTGGTTCTGGCCTGGGTGCCATAAGCAGGGGAGGACCAGCAGTTACAGATCAAAGCTGCAACTGGCATCTTACCGGGGCAGAAAGGAAAGCTGAGAGGTCATGAATGTGTCTCCTATTCTTAAACACCACTTTAAGGACTTCCTCGAAGGTCTTTAAGGATCGTCCACTGCCTTGCACCTGACTTCACTCTGCGGGTGGTTCCTGGATAAGGGATGAGCACATACATGTCTACTGCCAGATTTCTCTTCCTGAAGTGGAGCTTGGTCCTGCTTACCCCTGCTGTGGGGAGGGGAGTGGGAGAAGCATCCTTCGGAGGTGCCCACTGACCCTAGCATCCAGAGCCTTCGATGGCCTGGCCTTGACCTAGATGAACAACCTCACCACACATTGCTTTCTCTCACAGAGCTTATTTCAGCCAGGCTGAACTTCTTGCTACTCCTAGGTCTATCTGAGCCCATGCATTTTTCCTTGCTGTTCCCCCTACCAGAAATTTGCCCTTCCTCAATTTTCACATTTTATTTGGCCAAGTCCATGTAGTAGCAAAGTCCAAAGTTGGTACCTCCTCCATGATTCCTGCAGTGAGAAGTGGTAAAGCAACAACAATGACAGCTAACATTTATTAAGCACCTACTATGTCCAGGAATTGTTGTAAATATTCAAGACAATGTGAAATCCTGGAAATGGCTGACACATGGTAGGTCTCTTGGAATATGCTGCAGGATCCAAGCACTGTTCTTACACAAGAATTCCAGCATGTTTAGAAAAATAGAAACATTGCTAGAACCCTCATAAATGTTGCTTTCATGTGTTTGATTTCAATCGTCTGAAAGATGACCCTTTAAGCTGGATCACAAACTGAGTGCCAAAGAGGTCAGGTGGGCACCTTCAGAGAGAGCAGAGTGGTGAGGGCTGTGGGCAATGTCCTCCTACCCCTTAGTCTCACAAGACCAACTTCTGCTCAGCCCCAGCCACAAGCTGCCAGGCCCTCTGACTTTTCACAAGAGAAGCTCGAAGTTCAGACTTTTATGTGAAATATCCAAGTTTTTTAAATGCTGCTGGGGCCACACAATGGCCCCTGTTTATAGCCACACTGCCGTATTCACTGGAACTACCTACTCATTTGCGTCCAAGAAACTTAAAACTCAGTGCATTCACACACCCCTTCCTCCGCCCGTACCCCTCATCGCCAGCAATCTCATTGTGAGAAAGCAGGGCCCCCGGAAAATGAATGCCCTGCTCCAAGTCCTACAGGAGGCTCAGGAGGGGTCAAACCCAAAACTTCTCACTCCAGGTTCAACTTGTTCCCCATCACCCCACCCCACCCTTCACTGCCAGCCAGCCAGCTCTCCCAGCTGCCTAGGCTGGGGAGGCGCAGCGACAGAGAAGTCTGGATTAAGCATCCATCATAAAGATGGAACGTATGGGAAACTATGCTGGAAAAGGAACCCCATATACTATTAATGTCCTTCCTCATGGTGCCAGGCAGGGAGGCAAGTGGCACTGCATTTCTGAGGTCCCCTTGGGAGAGCTGCAGACAGAGGCAGAAGCTCTAGAGCTCGGGAGCCCTCTGTGTCATGGTGTCATATATCTCCATGGGAACAGCCAAAGGACACCTGCCCCCTCTCTGTGCATTCCCCACAGTTGCAGCCTTTAACACCTGGCATGAGAAATGTATGCTAATGTTTCTTCCTCATCCGATTTCTGAGCTAGAAGCGGGGAGCAGGGGAGTGGTTTGGCAATTAGCTGTATTATATTTTGAGTTGGAAGAGTGATTACCAGCAGCTGGCTGAGTGGAACTCACCCCGGAAAGGAAGGGACAGGTCCTTTGTGTGTGGATTAGAATAATTAAACAGCCCTAGAACCTTCGGATTTTAATTTTAATAACACTGGCAGTACACAGATAACCATTCTTCCCCTCTCCCTGTAGAGGTTCCTGACTTGGCCAGGGTGGTACACAAAACGTCAGCTTTCCAGGGGTCCTCTTGGTGGGAGCCTTCCACGGACTCAGGCCTGAACTAGTCCCAGCAAGGGTTCACTCAGCACTGTCTTTGTCACAGAATGTCACAGCTGGTTATCTTTCCAGACTTCTCCCCAGCAAGATGGAGAGGAGAGGAAAACAGCCGGCAGGGGCCTAGGCCGTCCTGCCCCTGCTCGCCGGCTTGGACCTGGGTGTCTCCAACCAGGGAGCAAGAGAAGGCAACGAAGGGTCCGGACGAGAGGAAGCTCAGAAGAAGAGTGGGGGTGCTGCCACTTCCGTGGGAGTTGGCCAGGCTGGGGTCGGGAGGTCAGCGTCGGAGGCCAGGTGGGCCGCCTCGCCATGGATGCGCTGGTGCCGCACGAGGTGAGTCTTGCGGCTGAAGCTCTTCCCGCACTGCGGGCAGGAGAAGGGGCGTGAGCCCGTGTGGATGGCCTGATGGCGGACCAGGTTGGTTTTGGAGCTGAAGCTGCGGGCGCAGAGGGTACAAGCGTGGGGCCGACTGCCCGTGTGCACCGCCTGGTGGCGGCCCAGGTGAGACTTGCGGCTGAAGCGGCGGCCGCACTGCGCACAGGCGAAAGGCCTGGCGCCGCTGTGGGCTCTAGAATGCGCGACCAGATTGGGCCTGGAGCCGAAGCGGCGGCCACACTGCGCGCAGGCGAAGGGCCGTTCGCCCGTGTGCACCCGCCGATGCCGTGCCAGGTGCTGCCCGTGGGCGAAGCCGCGTCCGCAGTCCGGGCAGAAGAAGGACCGCTCGCTATCCGGAGCGCCTTGGGGCGCCTGTGCGCTTCGGTGCGCGCAGGCCAGGGGCTCGGCGGTGGTGGGGTCCAAGGTGGCACCCAGTGCACAGTCGTCGCATTCAAAGGGGCGCCCTTCGCTGCGGTGCAGACGCTGGTGCGTGGCGAGGTTCTTCTTCCAGCCGAAGCACACGCCGCAGTCGGAGCAGGCGAAAGGCTTAGGTCCGGGAGGGGACGGGGTCGGGGACGGAGCAGGGGACCCGGGAGAGGCGGGGGGGTCGGCAGACCGCGGGGCGCGGCAGGCCGCTTCGTGCACCCTTTGGTGCCGCACCAAGTGCTGCTTGTGCGTGAAGCTGCGTGCGCACTGCGCGCACTGGTAGGGCCTCTCGCCCGTGTGGATGCGCTGGTGGCGGATAAGGTGCGTCTTTTTGCGAAAGCGCTTCTCGCACTCAGTGCAGGGGAAGGGACGCTCGCCCGTGTGCGTCTTCTGGTGAGAGCCCAGGTGTATCTTCTGGCTGAAGCGCTTGCCACACTCTGCGCACGGGTAGGGCCGCTCGCCTGTGTGCGTGCGCAGGTGGCGGGTCAGGTGCGCTTTCTTGCTGAAGCGCTTGTCGCACTCGGAGCACGGGAACGGCCGCTCGCCGCGGTGGCTGCGCTGGTGCAGCAGCATGTGAGCGCGCTGCGTGAAGCTGCGGCCGCAGTCCGGGCAGGCGCAGGGGCCCTCGCCGCGGTGCAGCCTCTGATGCAGCCTCAAGGTCAGCTGGTCCCTGAACCGCCGCTCGCACTCCCCGCAGCCATAGGGCTTCTCTGAGGCAGGAGTCCACCCGGCCAGCGCGAGCCCACCCAGTGCCCCTGGGGCCCCGGGCTCCAACTTATACGCGGTGGCCAGAGGCCCCAGGTCAGGTGCGGGAAAGGGGCCAGGGAGTAATGACAGATGCTGGGGCCATTCGACTTCCTCTTCTGCCTCCTGGTCCTCCTCCTCCACTTTCACCTTTCGAATCATCCACTCGTCTCCTGAAAAGTCAAAGCAAGACAAGTCCACTAAGCCCCACGTTTATTTATGCAACGTTTATTTACCAATAGACCACCACTCCCTGGGGCCCTGCAGTCTGGCTTTTGCTCTGTTTGCTTAAGGGAAGGTTCCTGGGAATGACCGAATCCGAAGATCACCGCTCAGCCTTCCTCCTTCCCCGTCTGCAGACAGGATGCTGGTGGACCAATCTGCAGGGGCTTCTCCCGGTCTTGCGCTGGTCTGTAAGAGCGCTAAGAACGAAGAGCACCTTCCCTGCCTCTAAACATGAATGCTGCTCAAGGTTCAGCCCTCAGGCTTCACTCTGGGTTCATACACCCCCCGCAGCCACCCCAGATCTTCCTGTCTAGCAAGCTCCTTTCTGGAAACACAGTCTCTCATCTTCAGCTGAGCAGCCCCCTTCCCGAATCCTGAAAATCAGCTGTAGCTCAGCAGGCTTATCATCACCAAACACCTCCGCTTTCCAGACCTACCCACTTCCTTGAATGTGACCACTGCAACCTCCTTCTCCCAGTTGCTGGGCTCAGAACCTTGGACCCTTGACTCTCACCTTTGAGCGTCCCTGCTCTCAGACTGTCCCCAGTGGACTTTGTATCCCTTCCTGCCATCTCTCAAGCCCCTTCCCCTCCAACTGCCTTCATTCTTGCTTCTCCAGTCAGGTGGCGAGTCCCAGTTTGGAAAGAGGAGGATTGTGTGTAGGGAACCAAAGAGTGGTCCTCGAGAAGAAGAGAGGGCCTCTGGGCGAGCAGGTTCGAAGTGGGTTTTCCTGGAGCTTGGCCCCTCTTGGGCCCTGGAATGGCCCAGTCAAGAGGAAGAAGCTGAAGGCCTAGACCCAGAGTGTCCACTTGGGTTCTTCTCTGCCACTAACCAGCAGTGTGACCTTGGTTAACTTACCTCTTTGCTGCCTCTTTGAGCCAAGTTTGTTAGTTTGCTCAGGTGTAAGGGTTGGGACTAGCTCATGGTTCCTAAACCTAGTGCCACATCATACTCTCCTGTTACAAAATGCACCTATGGGAGCAGGGCACATGCATCTGTCTCTTTATTTAAAGCTCCCAAAGTGGTTCCTGTTTGAGAACCATCGAACCAGATGCTCTGAGTTCCTGTCTGGCTCTGAAAGTCTGTGATAGCCCGAGCCCTGGTTCCATCACACACGGACGGCCACAGCGACATTCATTCCCATCTCTTTCACCGACCCATCACAGCCAAACACTATTCACGCTGTTGAGATACTGCTTTCATTTTCATTGTGCCACTGTTCTACCCAAGAACCACCAGCAGCTCCCTATCAACAGGATAAAGGAAGCTCTAGCTGCATCAGAAGTGCACCCCAACCCAGTGCAACCTAATAAAAATATACCTTTATGTGTCTAATAAAAATGAGGATGGCCCGGCCGGTGTGGCTCAGTGATTGAGCATTGACCCATGTACGAAGAGGTCACTGGTTCGATTCCCAGTCAGGACACATGCCCAGGTTGTGGGCCCGATCCCCAGGGGGGGTCATGCTGGAGGCGGCCAGTCGACGTTCTCTCTCATTGATGTTTCTATCTCTCTCTTCCTCTCTCTCGAAAAATCAATAAAAAGAAAAAAAAATTTAAATGAGGATGGCCACCATTCATTGAGTGCCAACTATAGATGATGTACTGTGCACACGTTCTCACAAGACTTCACAACAAGCATGAGTCACCCTGTTTACAGGTGAATAAACGGTTCCTGGAGGCGACGTGGCTGATCCAAGCTCACTCAGCCAGGGAGTATAGAACAAGGATTCAAACACGTCTGTGTTGCTTTAGAGCCCATCTCTTTCCACTCTACCTAACGACCTGGACCTAGTAGGCACTAAATAAATCCTTGTGGGATAAATGACATCACTGGGGCAAAAGATGATGAGGTTGAAGGTAGTGGAAGGAAGTGATGGCGGGATTGTGGAGAGAGAATCGACTCTTCCGTTGCCCTGGGTATGGGGGAGATGAGTGAAACACAGCAGATTCAGAGCATTTGGGTACCACTGAGATAAGTGGAGATGTGGGGGAGGGAGCAAGTCTGGGGAGAGAAAATAAAAAGGTTGATCAACGCGCCATATGTCTTCATATGGGGATTGTAATTCAAGCCATCGACAAGTCTATACGTAAACTGGGAGAGAAGTTAGGCCTTCTAGAGGACGTTGACATGATGCTGTGTTTCTCTTGGGCCAGCCTCTCCGATTCCCGTTGTCTATGGATGCAGAATTCCCCCTGGGTGATGAAGCTCTATGAGCAGAAAGGTGCCAGGGCCTGATTCATCTGGTGTTGGAAGGGCCTGGAGTGGCAGCCGCATCAGATAGCAGCTCTGGAGGCTGCAGGGCCCTGTTCCCTCCGCCTGGTCCCCTGGTGGGATGGAGAAATGGGAAGACTCACCTGAGCAGGAGCCCGAAGGCTCAGCCTTCTGTGGTGTGGGTGCCTGGCTTCCTCGGCAGGGAGCCTCAGCCTGTTCAGGGTGGGCGCCTTCCTCCAGTCTGGGGGCCTCGTGCCCTGGCAGAGAACAGGCCACCTCAAGCTACCGCAAACATTGAAGATGGAAAGAGGGTCCCGCTGGTGCCAGGAGGCAGGGGAGTTTGAAACCCCAGTCCCAGCCCCACAGGCAGGGACTGTACCCAGCCCAGGTCATACCCGCAGGGGCAGCCTCGGGCTACTTCAAGCCGGGCAGGAGTGTAGGCCCGCATGGTTGCTAAAGCCACAGCTCTGAGGAGTTGCTGACCTGTGTGTGTGTGAGCAAGGATAGGCCCAGCTCTGAGGTTTACATGAGGCTCCTCTCCTCGGAGGAGGGCTGGGCACCTCCCCGCCACCAGAGGCACCCCAGTTCCATGGCAAATCATTGGAGAAGATCGGGATGTCAAGAAGGCAGGCTCATCCCTTCCTTGGGTATCTTCTCCTGGTATTTGTTTAGCCATTTCCCTGTTTCAAATCTTAGCCTCCCGATGAGGCCTACTCTCACCACCCTATTTAGGCTTTCTCTGCTCCACCCCCATCTATAGCAGTCTCAAACCCCCTCACCCTGTTTTATACCCCCACCCCCAGCATGTGTCCTCTTCTATCAGGGTTTGCAAATGTACTTATTTTTTACATTGGTTGGTTGTTGACTCCCTGTCCGCACTAGGATTGAGCTTCTGGAAGGTAGAGGTCTTTGTCTATTTGATCACTGAGCTATGCCAAATATCCAGAATGGCACTTGGCACTTAGCAGGTAGGTGCTCCATAAATACTTGATAAAGAAAGGACAGATGACTGCCCTGAGCCACCATCCAGGGTCCTCACTCACCCGCATTCAAACAGGAGCCCAGCGCTCTCTCTTCCCTGGGAGGGCACATCTGCTCCTGGGCATTATGGGACCCTTCCCCAGGCTCACTTTGGGGGGCCATCTCTGGCTGGCCCACAGAAAATCCTGTTACAGATAGAAGGATGGGTGGAAGTAAAGCATCCAGTACAGAAGAGGTGAGCAAAGGCAGGGGCTTTCCCCCTTCCCAGCCCACCCAAGGGGCTTTTCCCAACCTGCTCAGGAAGGAGGGTCTCTAGCCAGCATGGACAAGGGACAGCCAGGCTCCCCAGCAGTCTGGCCAGGTGTCAACCTCAGCCCCTTTGCGTTGAATCAAGGACAGAGAAAGAAGGATGGAGTGGATTAAATATCTTGATGCTCCCCCGGCCGGTGTGGCTCAGTGGATTGAGCATCAGTTCCATGGACTGAGAAGTCCGGGTTTGATTGCCCTAAAGGTTCCAGGGGTCCCAGGAGTCTTCGGGTTGCAGTTTCTGAGAATGGCTCTGCCTTCTTTATTGTAGAGAAGCAACAAGCTCAGCAGGCCCCTGAATCCCCACCCCCACCCCAGGTTCCTTCGGTTCTGCTGGCTCACCCAGGGAGCTGAAGGCCTCCAAAGTCTCTCTCATGGCAATCCCAGGTAGCTTCCCCCGGGGATCAGGCCGCAGGCCCTAAGGAGGAAATACATCATTGCTCAAATTCTTCCCTGACAGCTTCCAACTGGCCCTGCCCAACCTCTCCCCATCAGCAATCTCCAGGAGCTCCAAGGTGATGCTCTCAGGTACAGGTGAGGGAAAAGAGAGAAGGTAGATTTTGGACAGCAAAGAGATCTTTACAGGTGGCCCAAGGAGAAGATCTTGAAGCCCTTTCTGCAAGCTCTGGCCAACTCCTGGTCAGCAGCACCCCCTCACCTGGTGGGTTTCTCAGAACCAGCCTCAGCCCCTCAGTGATCCTGCTGGGGGAGGGGGGCCGATATCAGGGATAAATCGATTCCCCGGGGAGAGGGCAGAGGGTGGGAGACCAATCTAAGGAGCAACATCATCACCACCTAGGCCCTCCAGCTGTCTCTGCAGGAGCTGGTGAAATAGGAGCCAGCGGAGGGGCGGAGGTGAGTGTCACTGTTGGGCAACTAATGGGGAAAGTCCTCAGAGGAGGGTCCTCGCTGAAGGAAGGAAATGGCTCTTGCTTCCTCTCCCCCAAACCCTACCTCGACACCATCGCCTCCCCCTACCTTGCGGGGTTTCCCCGACTGGGCCACCTCGCCGTTGTGCCCCCTGCGCCTCTCCTCCTCCAATGGGCGCCCTGCCCCCTCCCAGCAGACTCCCCTCCCCCCCAAATCTTTCTGGCAGCGGTCCCTCTGCCCTCCCTTCTCCTGTTCCCTCTGCCTTCCGCCCTCTCTCCCCACTGAATCTGGCTGGCTCCCCAGCTCCGCCCCCTGCCTCGCCCCTCCGGCTCCTCCCCCTGCCCGCAGCCTGTGGGCCAACCCCTCCCCGCCCCCTCCTCCGCCCCCCGACCCTCCGCTCTGGGTCCTCTCCGCCGCAGCGCTCCCCTCCCCCTCCTCGGGCCGCCTATCCCTTCCCTCCGGTTCTCCCCGACTCCATCCCCCTCCCCGGTGCACACCCTCTCCCTTCCTTCCCCCTCCTCTTTTCCTTCCTCCCTACACTGCCCGTCTCCTCCCCGCTGTTCTCCCCCACTCCGCTCACCCCTCCTCCTCCCTCTCCTCCCCCACTCTGGTTTCCCTTCCTTCTCCTCTCCTCTCTTCACCTCAGCTCCCTCCCTCCTCCCGTCTCCCCAGCCCTCCTTACCCTCTCCCCCACCACCCTCCTCCCTCCTTCCCCTCCTCCCTCCTGCAGCTCTCCTTCCCCTCCGAGGCCCCCGGCTCCCTTCCCCCTCTGCCTCCCCAGCAGGATCTCGCTTCCCCTCCCTCCGGGTCCCCAGTCCCCAGAACCGCTCTTCCCCTCCCCCTTCCAGTCCGCTCCCCAAGCTCGCCCCGCGGTCCCCGGCCCTCTAGCCGCGCACTCCGGATCCTCTCCTCGCCCTGCCCTGTCCCCCGCTGCCTCCAATACACCTCCGTTTCCCCTCCCCTCCCATCAGTGGCTCCCTTCCCTGTTTCTGTTCCCCAGTGACTTCTGCACCCCCCTCCCAAGTTTCTCTCTCGACCAGATCCCTCTCGTCCCACCACCCCGCCGCCGTTCGTCCCCCTCTGCGCCCGACCTCACTCCACGTCCCGGCCCCTCCCCGGCTCTCGGGCTCACCTGTCAGCACCCTTCTCTCCACCCCCCAGCCGCCCGGTCCCTGAGCCAGGTTTTCCTTCCCCTGCCCCCTCCCACACTCCCTCTCCCCTCTCAGGAGCCTCCTCACTCCCTCCCCTCGGAGCCTTGCACCCCTTTCCCACTGGAGTACCCCCTCCTTCTCCCTCTCCCCGGCCCCGGCCCTTCCCTCCAGCTCCCAGTCACTTCTCTCGACAACCCTGACTCCCCCCTCCGTGTCCTCCCTCTTCCAGCCCGCGCCGCTCCCCAGCCCTTTCATTCCCTCCACCTCTCCCCACCCCCTGTGCGCCCCCACCCGGGGCTGTCACCTGCGCAGAGCGGGCAGCGACTCAGTGCCGGTGTGGAGGGGGGAGCGGGCGGAGCCGCTGGCCGCTGGGCGCCTCCAGGGCTGGTACCTGGCGGGCGGCCGGCCGGGTCTCCCCGCTGCTGCCGGACCCTGGCGTCCGGGCCTCCGGTCCCGGAGGGCTCTGCTCGCAATGGCGCCCGCTGCCCGCAGCTCGGCTGCCCGAGAGACTGACAGATTGACAGCCCCGAAACTTCGCGGGGAGGGGAGAGGAAAAGACGCGGGGGGAGCGGGAGCGGGGAAAGGCGCCCGGCAGGGGGAGGGGAGCGAGGACGCTGGCGGGGCGCAGCGGGGCGCCGGTGGGAGAGGCAGGGGTGTCCTGGAGTGGGGTCGGAGGCCGGCGTACAGCGGGGCAGGCGGGCAGGTGACGGTCTGGAGGGACGACGGCCGGAGTAGGTGATGGGAAGTGGGAGCTAAGAAGAGGGGAAGGGGAGGGGGAGGGAAGGGAGGAGTGGAGGGGAGGTGGAGGAGGGAGAGGAGGCAGGGAGGACGGGCACTCGGGCTGCGAGGGAGGGTGCTCGCAGCGCCGAGGGAGGAGCCAGCGGAAAGGTGGAGCGCGGGGCAGGGGGGTGAGGAGTTGGGGGGACGAGGAGGTGGCTTGCTTGGGTAGGAGAGCCAGGGTCTGCACTGCCGTCTTTGAATCGCGAGTGCCGGCGGGAGCGTCTGTGGGGTCCACTCTCCCAGCTCGGGCGGTGGGGTCGGTCTGGGAAACTCCTGCCCCGTCCGGCTCTCAACCTTGATCCCACCCGAATCCACCCTGACTCGCACCCTCCGGCCCTGAGTCTGAGACCTGCCTCCGGAGCCGGTCCCTCGGGGCTGTGAGGCGAGACTAAAGGAGTCAGGGCTGGGCCCCTGTGCCTGCCGAGAATGCGCCCTTCGCGGTACAAATTGGGTAGGGGCTTTGGACCGGGTCACCAGAGAGGAGGCAGGGCTGGAGGGGAGGCACGGGGGCAGGCTGGAGTCGGGCTGGGCGGAGCCTCGGAGGGCGGTGTCCAGGTGAGGGGCTGCGGGAGGGGAGTTCCCTGGGCGGGGCGGGGGCGGGGCCTACAGCTCCCGGTCAGGTGTACGGGGTTGCCCTCAGCCCTCAGGTCCGGCTTCTCGCTCTCCCTGTCCGGGGTTATGCTATTTCCCTTCCGCCTTACCACCTGGGCACCTAGACTCCTGAGAACTCCTCACATGCTGTCCTGAGCTGAATTGTGGCCTGGTTATTGCAGCCCCCCCGCCCCGCCCCATTCTTAATCTCTTCCTCCAATCTCCCCATGGGTCCAGCTTCCTCCCTCCCGCCCCGTTTAGGGGAAAGGGCGCCCGTGACTCCGGTTTCTCCCAGTTCAAGTGCTGCCTTATCAGCAGTGGTTGGAATCCAGAGCTGGGGGGTCAGGGGAGGGGGCAGGCAGGTGGATGGCCCTCGGAGCAAGGAGCAAGGAGCCCTTTCCTGCCTCATCACAGGGGACAGAGCAGCACACAGCAGGGATGACACCAATATTTGCTGATGTTTAGGATGGGGGGAGAGGCGCTGGCGCAGGTGGTACCTGGAAGAGGGGACTGGTGTCCTTAGCACTCAGCTGTGAAAAGCCTTTCTGCCTCCCTGATGGGCTGTTTCAGGGAGTTGGGGCCCAGCCTTCTCATGGTCTTGGGAGCAGAGTGTCATTGTGTGCTGGGGGGGGGTGGGGGTGGCAGCGCCTGTGTCACCTCGTGAGTCCTGCAGTGGGAGTGGGTGTGTGTGAGGTGTGAGGGAGTGTCTGGGTGCGCGTGTGAGACTGGGACTGTCCGGGACCCCACTGGAGAGCTCCCCGAGAAACCCACTGCACCCACACCCTCTGTTGGTCCCAGGACCAGCAGTGGGCCCAGAAGAAATGCCTAGTGAGGCTCCAGTTCCCCATAGCATCATTCCCCAGGAGGGGTGACCATGTGGGGTGCTGGAAGGGACATCAGGTTTAGGGAGTGGAGGGTTATGGAATAGGAGACCCAGGCCACATTCCAGCCTGGGTGTCCTCGGAGCTGGTAACCAGGATGTAACCAGGATTTCCCTGGGGCACCTGCTGCTGTCCCCTCCCAACCAGACGGATGCTGGGATTATCCCATCCGGCTGCCTTGCCCCCAAGGCCCCTCTGTCTTCTGCCACAACCACCCCCACTCTCTTCCCTGAGGCTCGCTCTCACTCCCTGACCTGGGCTTCCTGGTTCTGGACCTCAAGAACCCTAGGAGACTGTCTCTGGGGGAGACCAGAGTGGACCCAGGCAGCCATACATAATCATCCCCAGTAAGAAGTGGGACCACAAAGGAAAGGGCACAGGTCATTCCTCTGTCTCCACACAGTCAGACCTCCCTGGAAGAGGATCCTCCTGCCCATGATCCTCACTTCCAGAGTGCCTGGGGGAAGAGAGGGGCAAGAGGAGGCAGGAAATGGAGCAGGAGACAATCGTGAAGTCAGAATTTTAGGGTTAGAGATCACATCCATCATTTGGTCCCATGATTCCAACATTTTGCGGGGTCATGGCCCCCCTGAGAATCTAATAAAAGTTAAGAAACTGTCTTCCGAAAAATGTGCACACACAAGATTTCATGGTATTCATGGAACCCCTGAATCCCACCCGTGCATCCTTGGGAGACCCTGGTATTTTTACTGGTGGGGAAATCAAGGCCCAGAGAGGGAAGGTGGCTTGCCCACAGTTCATGTTAATTTATCATAAGGCCTGAGAGTGTGGAAATATCAGAGGCTCAGAATGTCTGGCAGTGGCCTGGACTCCCCCCACCACACACACACACACACACACACACACACACACACACACACCAGGGGCAGGAAGGGGGCTATTTCCAGGGAGAGGGAGCCTCTGAGGGGACTGTGTGATGGGCAGGCAGGTCCAATCCAGTTCCCAGCAGCTGGTGCCCGGGCATGTGGCTGAGATAAAGCCAGGCCCAGTGCTCTGAGGCTGCCTGGACACTCAGGCGGGGCTGAGTAGACTGCCCCTGGGGGTGGCCAGTACGGCTGGCTGCTCCTCTCACACATTGCCTCCCCCAAGCCTTGAAGTCCCTCAAAGGTGGCCTGTGGGGGCACCATGCTGCTCCCTGCCTTGCTTTTTGGGATGCCATGGGCACTTACTGGGGACTCTCTAACTAAGATCCTTTTCCTTCTGCCCCATGACTGGGACCCTCCTGGGCAGTCAGACCACCCTCCCGACCTCAGCCTCCTCTGCAGTTCACTAACTTCCCTGGGAATTGGCTCTTTCAGGAGCAGGGGTCATAGGACAGGGTTCTTGGTGACAGGGGATAGTGGAAGCAGTTCTCATTTTCCATCCAGGGGCAGGCAGATGGAGACCATCCTGGTGGAGGAGGAAGTGACCCCGTCAGGAGGACCTGGTGCCCTGCACCAGCCTCTATCATTACCTGCGCCTGGGCTGGTGGCTGGACCTGCCTGGAGTGGACGTGCAGGGCTCTGTGCCATTTACAAGTGAGTGAGGGGCAGAGTCTGGGCTGGCTGCCCGGCAGGAGAGACGTAGGTCGGGGTAGGCTCTCAAAGGGCAGAGCATGTGGGATGGGGCTGATGGATGAGTGGGCACCCCTGAGAACAGCCCATGGAGATGCTTGATGCCTCCTGCCTATGCCTACTCTCCAGTCAGCCCCCCCCCCCCCAAGATGATCTCATGGGGAAATGAAGTCCAAGGAGGGAAATTACATGATAAAGTCACTCAGAGAGTAGGTGACCAGATTGAATGCCCGTCCCAGGCCATTTCCAGGGCTGGGGCTGGGCTGAACACTAACATCTTCTCCCTTCCACCTGCGCCGTGGACCCAGGCCCCCGGAAACACGGCCTGATGCAGGGAACAGGACAGTGAGGGCCTGCTGCCCAGGCTGGGGGGCCCCAGTGCACACCAGGTAAGTGCCTGAGATGAGCCCAGATCTGCTCTGTCATAAAGGTAGCGGGCTGCCTGGGGAGGGAAACTGGGTCCAGGCTGACTGACTGGGTCCGCCCCATTCTCTCTCTGTACCCAACATAGCCTCCAGCCCCCAGGGCCACTGCTTTGCCACATGGCAGTGCCAGCCTCGGGCAGGCTCAGCTAATGCTTCTGCAGGGTCTGGAGGAGTGCTGTGCCCAGCCTCGGGGACACAGCTGGCAGGATGACCACTCCCCGGCCTGCCTCAGCTGCTCCGGACAACAACTCCCAGGTGTGTCCCCAGACTGCCAATAGGCACAGTCCCAGCTGTCCCCTGCTGTCCCCCTAGGCACTCCCATGTGGAGTTCTTGAGCCTGGGCCTTTCCACAGGGCCAGTGCCCATTCCCGTTGTCTCAGATGAGTCACCTCTCATATCCTGCCCGCCAGAGTGACCATGACTGTCCACCTGCCTCCTGCTTCCTCTGCCCTCCTCCCCCACATTCGGAGGCTCACGGTGGTGCATCTCCCCCAGGCAGCACCCCCTCTCCAGCCCTCCTGCAGCCCCTGGCAGGGGCCGTGGCCCAACTCTGGAGCCATAGCCAGCGTCCCTCGGCCACTGTGCCACCTGGTCTGGTTTCCACTACCGCACCTTTGATGGGTGCCACTACCACTTCCTGGGCCGGTGCTGCTGACTCCTCCTGGGCTGTCCACCTCAGGCCCAGGGATCATTGTCCCCAGCCTGGGCGCTGTCAGCTGGTGAGGAGGGAGATGGGGATGGAGACAGGGAGGAGCTGGATCTGGGTGGAAGAGAGACACTGACCACCTCCTGCCTTACCGGTCTCTCCCAGGCCCGGGGGTTGATGGGACCAGGGGAAGTGCTGATTCCGGGTGGAAACGTCTCTGTGAATGGGCAGCTGGTACCTGATGGGGAGTCTCAGCTGCTCCCTGGTGAGGGACAGTCTGCCTATGGGGCTCAGAAGGGCAGCAGAAGGGGCAGCGGGGGACTCTGAGCTTGCTGCTGCCTCCCCACCCCCACTGCTGCTGGGAGGCATTTGGAAATGAGGGAGCCAGCAGAGGACCTAGTCCCCTGCCGCCCGCCCCCACCAGCCCCCTCACAAGGTGACC